CCGGGGGGCGGTCCTTCACTCCCAGGCGGAGTGAGGGACCGTCCACCGAATTGCCGCCGAATACCTGGAACTGCCGCCCCTGTCCGGAACAGCCGCCCCAAGCACCTGCTTGAGAAGCTGGTGCCTGGAGCCGGCCCTGCTTAACACTTTACTTTTTCAAAGAGCTACAACCATTAACTAATTATTCCTTACGACACCCTCCCTGTGTAAGTTTTGGGAAACCAGGCAACTCCGTGTGTGTGTGTGTGTGTGTGTGTGTGTATTTATAGATACTAAGGAGAGAACTTACTATCCCAGCTGAGAAAGAGATATAGATCTGGGCGTCATTATAGATAGTACTTAAAGCTAGCAGAATGAATGAGGTTGCCCAAGGAGAGGAGATATATAGAGAGAAGAGTGGGGCCAAGGACAGGCCCCTGGGGAACAACAACAAACAGCTGGAGAGTTGAAGAGGAGGAGGAGCTACAAGAGGATATGCAGAAGAATTGGTTAGGAAGGTAGGAATAGAACCAGAAGAGGTGAGAGAATCATGAGCTTGGGGAGGAGAGTTTTCAGTATAACAAGTATTCAACATGTCAAAGGCAGCAGACAGACCAAGAAGGGTAAGAATGGAGTTGAGTTATTGATGAGGTGCCCAAGAAATTTAGAAGAGAAGAAGAGGAAGATGGGGTGGTACCCGGATAAGCAAGTGGGGTCAAGACAGACTTTTTGAGAAAGTGAGATGAAGGGCGATGGAAAGGGAGGAGTTGAGGAGGTCAGGAGACAGAACAGGATTGAAGGACATACAAATGAGAGGAGGTTGGACACTTTAGCACCAGAGATCATGCTAAAGGAGGAGAAAATAGCAGGCTGTGGGAAATGGGGCAGAGAGAAGGGGATTGTTTCACACTGGCTCACATTGAATTTTTTTTTTTTTGCAGAAGTCAGTCAGAAATTGCAGGTTGAGGAGGGATTTGAAAGCAGAGGATGCACTTGTATGGCGGAATCATGCATAGCTAGTCTCTGGATTTTCTCAAGAGTCATTCAGGGGCACACAAGCAGCAACAGAGAAAGAAGATGCAAGGAGTGAGCCAAGCCTGGGCATGTGAGGGATAAATACGGCTGTTTGAGAGAAGTGCAAAAAAAAAGCTGAGAATGGATGAGAAGATAGAGTTGTGTGTGAAAACTATGGCGTTGATGTAAGAGTGAGGTAGGACAGGGAGGAGTGGATGAAGGACATCAGAGAAATGGGTGATAAAGAGTTATAGGACATTTTAATGTAGGCTACCAGATGGATTCCTTCCAAGCCCAGAAATAACCAAAAGATGCACTATTTGGTGGCTGCATTATGGTCTGCATGAAGTTACTGATATTTATTATTTTATGACACACACGAGTGTGCTAGTTGCTTCACAGAAAAACTCCAAAAGGACAGATCCTTGCCCCCAACATCTTAGAATCTAAATGGAAGACATAACCAGCAAAAAGAAAAACAAGGTGGTTAACACCCCTCCAGTCAGAGGGAGAAAAGGAATGGAGGGGAGGGCAACACAGCTCAGGGGAGTTGTTAGTGGATTATAGATTGTTGTAATAAAACATAAACAGCCCCCTCCCCAACTGGAAAGGTGTTAACAGGCCACTTCTCCTTGAATGGTCCCTTGAAATATGTGTTAACTACAGGTGCTAAACAATTTGTTCCACCTTATTTTCAGCTTTGACATTCTGTGGCCAGGTCTACATTACAGACCTATATCGTTATAACTATGTCGCTTAGAGTGTGAAAAATTCATACCCTGGAGTGACATAATTATACTGACCCTACCCCTCTGTGTAGACAGCGCTGTGATGACAGGAGATCTTCTACCATCGACATAGCTGCCACTTCTCAGGGAAGTGGATTAATTATGCCAACAGGAAAGACTTCATTTAAGCACTACAGCGGTGCACTTGCAGTATTTTAAGTGTAGGCCTGCCCTGAGTTACTTTCCCAGATCAGAAGAAGAACACTGTGTAAGCTTGAAAGCTTGTCTCTCTCACCAACAGAAGTTGGTCCAGTAAAAGATATTACCCCATGAACCTTGACTTTCTAATATCCTGGGATTGACATGGCTAAAACAACACTGCATACAGGCAAAAAGGAAGGGGAAGGTAAGAAAGGGGCACAGGTTATGTACATGTGATTAGGTGGTTATTCCATTTAGGTAACACACCAGTCATGATGGTTCAAGATGTTTGTTTTCTGTTTTGACTGAAACAAGGTGGTGCTTTCAATTGAATTCCTAGTAGGTGGTTGTCTACATCACATCTGGCACCACTGTTTGGAGTTTCAGCAGAGAGGCTAAGGACTGAAAAGACATGGAAATTGAAATATCTTTTCCTCCGGAGGTATTTCCTCCAGATTCAATTGGAGGCACACTGGAGAGGGTGGGAACAGTCTGGAGAAACTTGCCGTACTTGTTTGGTTTGGTCATCTCATTGGTTATTCACCAAACCACATCCCCTCTCTTCATTCGAATCCACCCTAAAACCGCATTTCTCTACATTGCTGATAAGCAGCGAGTTAATATAAACAAAGAACATTTTTACATACTCAAAAGAACCACCACTCATAACTAACCTCATTTCTCAGATAACTACATAATCCCCACCCCCATCCATCCCCTTACTCATTCTCACTCATTGGGCATGTCTAAAATTAGACTGAAGTGCCTCAAATGTCCACAATGTCCTTGAATTTGTTCTGTAAAATTAGTACATTTTAGTACTACTACATTTTCAATATTGTACAAAGAAATAATATTGCTGCCTGTGCTGTACCCATTTTGTAGATAAACAAAGATTTTCAGTGCTATCAGTCTACAATCTTTCACAAGTACTAAAGTTCACTTTAAATCTAGGAGAAAATGCAAACATTTAATTAAATACAATACAGTCATTGTTGGTATTTCAGCTGTTTTACTTACTGAGGAAAAAGAGAAGACCATCCAGGGATGAATCCAGGTTCTCTTGTAAACCACAATAGGGCCATTAAAATGAACAGGACAAGGGTAATGATTTCTGGGTAGCTGGAGCAAAAGCACAATTTGTTAGTGTCTGGTTTCCTTACATTTAAATCAGTGCTTGTTTTGAAATGGCCTGGTGTTTTTCAGTCTGTGTTACCTTATTGGTCCAAGCTTTGTGTACTCCTCTTTAATCACCTGTGCTGAGGCCTGTTCTCTGGCTGTTTTTTCCTTGCCACATCGGAACATTTCTTTGAAACTGGAATGTAAGTTAACAATAATGGAGTGTTACTCTTACAGGATAGTCACAGATCCCAGCCTTTCCAGCTAAGTGTACCAATTTACTAGGCTAAGATTTCAGTTCTACCAGCCAGTGCTCATTATCTCCTGTTTAATTGTGCACACTCTGAACTTTACAATACTGATTTGGAGTAAACTGACCAGGCTGGAGCCTACACAAGTGAATGGGAGCTTGGCAGAGGCAGCAGCAAAATATAGCCCAACATTCAGGCTTGTCATTAAGGTAGAGGAGGCAACCTACAGCCCTGGGCTTTTCAAGGATGCAGTATGGTCTAGTGGCTAAGGCACAGGCCTAGGAAATGAAGAATCCTGGGATCTATTCCTATCATGTCCTGTCCCTTTAAATATTTGAGCACTCTGCAGTGTAAACCTCACTTTCGTGTTAGTTTCAGTTTTGCAAGCACAGCAGACAGTTGTCTTTCTATAAGTTCCCTCTGTGTCTGTGACTCTCTCCTTCTCTGCTGGGTCCAGAAATATAACATTGGCAACACAGGATTTATATCCCATGAGTGTCCAGTGCGCCCATTACCTGAACAACAAAAAGAAAGAGTAAGCAGATAATACTGTGAAAAGGGGACAAAGTTCACCTGGAAGCACAGGGTGACAGACTGCTGTTTTTGCTTCTGGGAACCAGTTATCTACAGAGGGGGAAGTAGGCAATTAGAAGCAGAATAAAGGAAGAGGTTTCTGCTGTTGCTGCTGTTGGAGCTGTTCAAACAAGACAGTGAAGTAGAAGCAAGCAGCCATCTTTGTTGACCAGGTGCAAGCCTGCACTACAGGGTCTATACCCAGCAGAGGGAGCCCAAATGCAGCCAAAGGAAGAATTCTGAATTTTGCAGTGTAAGCACACAGCCAGCAGAGGGTGATCCAGAGCAGATAGTGTACAATTAAGAAAAAGAAAAGAGAGAATTTCCCTATGGAAGAGATGTCCAGGAGGTGTGAAGTTCAACAGGAGAGCAGTAAAATGGCATCTTTTATGGGCAATGTTGGTGAATAATGGGTGGTGTATCTCAAACATTCTGAGCAATGTGTAACCTGCAACACCATTCCAGATGGACAAAGAATTTCAACCTTGCTGACAGTGATGGGTCTGAAGCTTACACTGCTGTGTCTCCAGCTATGCCCAGAACTGCCAGGATATTTTTCTCCTGTCCCATCGATGATAGCTAAATGATAGTGGTTTCATTAGTGACATCAGGGAAGTGGAGAGTTTGTTGCCGCTCTCAGGAAGTTGTCAGAGCATTGTCAGTTTGGAGACACATTAAGTGATGCCCTGCATGACCAGTTAGTCTCTGGGTTAAAAACAATGACCACATTGGAATGAAGTTACTGGCTGTAACAGAGGTTACATTCAGAAAGGCTGTTGATGTAGCAATTGCAATGGAAACCACAGAGAAGGATTCTCTGCAATTTAATGTGCACTGAAAAGTTCATCTCGCGAATCTGCAAGACAGAGGGCCACAGAAACATAAGACATTTCCATGTGGCAGTTTGCACAAGCTGTGCCTGCTGAAAAGGACTGCTGGGCACACCAGCTCATTTGCAGAAGAAAGGACACATCAGCATGATGTTGCACAGTTCAACAACCAGTAACAGAGTAAACATACATAAAATACACCTGTGACAACTGAACCTAAGAAAAGATGGAAGTTGGGAATTCATAATGTGGAAAAAGACAAGAGCTGTAGTGATGCTGATCAAGACCTAGCACTGCATGTGTTATCAGAAGATGGAGTCACAGATGGGATCTGGGTCACACCCTTGATTGAAGGAGTTCCTACAAGAATTCAGCTTAATACTGGGGAGCTGCTGTGTCATTGATTTCTGCATCCACCTATCACCAGACTTTGTCACAAGTTCCACAAGAAGGAACCTCCTTGGTTTTGAAATGTTAGTCCTAAAAGGGATACCAGAAAAATGTTAGTCCTAAAAGGGATACTCCAGGTAAAAGTTCAACTAGAGGGACTATCAGTTGTTCAATCACATACAAGGGTAAAACAAAAGTATCCATCATTATTTAGCAGATCTTGGCTTGAAATGCTCAAGGTGAATTGAACCAAGATCAGGGCGATCACGAAAGCACTTCAAAATCTTCAAGAAATACTGGACAGACACTTCAAGCTCTGTTTCAAAATCTTTGGACAGAGCAACTTGTCAGTGAAGCTCACTGTTAAGACTGACAGCCAATCATAATATTGCAACCCCAGAGTTATGTCTTATGCTCTCAAGCCTCTGGTAGAAGCTGATTTGGACTGATTAGTGAACATTGGAGTCTTGTTATTGGTTTCACACAGAGTGGGTTACATCTCTTGTACCAGTGTTCAAGAAGGAGGCTCAGTCCAAATTTGTGGAGATCTCAAAGTGATGCTGAGGCCAGTTTTACATGCCGACCAGTATCCTCTTACTGAAGATGTGTTTGCTACTCTTAGTGGTGGACAGTGTTGCAGTAAATTGGATTTGCTCAGAGATTGATCCAGCATCTCACAAATATCTCAAATTCAACACACAAAAAGACTTATTTATTGCAACTGGTTGCCGTTTGGTATCACATTGGCACCTCCTCTGTTCTAGAAAGCCATGGATGAGATTCTGAAGGGACTGAATGGAGTTCAGTGCTATTTGGATGACATCCATGTTACAGGAAAGGATCACGAGGATCATCTTTGAAATTTGGATGCCTTTAACATTTGGAAGACCATGGACTAAGATTATGTTGAGACAAATGTGAGTTTTTCAAACCTTCAGTTGAATACCTTGGACATGTAATTGGTGCCATGGGCTTAAGGAAATTGCCAGAAAAAGCACACCATCTTCAGGCATCATCAACAGAGAACATTTCACAGTTATATTCATTCTTAGACCTGCTTAAGTACTATGGTGAATTTCTGACTAATCTGGCAACAGTATTGGCATCTTTACATGAACTGTCAGATGCCCAGAAAAAAGGGAAATGGACTAAAAGGGTGAGTGTGCATTTAAGGAAGCAAAGAAACTGTTGACATCCGCTGAAGTTCTTATGCATTTTGATACTTCACTACTATTGCAGTTGGCTTTCGATACTTCACCATATGGTGTGGGTGCAGTACTTTCCCACATTTTTCCTAATGGCATGAAGAAACCAGCTGCCCTTGCATCATGAACATTTACTACTCCTGAGAACTATGCGCAACTAGAGCAAGAAGCTCTCAGCATTATCTTCAGAATTCAGAAGTTCCATAACTATCAATATGATAGATATTTTACCTTGCTGATGGATCATCACCCATTACTTTCAATTTTTGGACTGAAACATGGAATTCCATCATTAGCTGCTGCTCATATGCAACAATGGGCATTACGTCTTTCAGCTCACTCCTATGCTATTCAATTCTGTAAAGAGACTCAGCACTGCAATGCCAATAAGCTGTCACTCCTGTCATGCCCAAGCTCTCATCAACTCAAAGGAACTTCAGATGAAGTATTCTATCTCAATTTGAGGGATAGGTTACTCATCACTAGCACAGACATCCATAAAGAAACTGCTAAGGATAATGTGTTTTTGCTTATGACGGGAATGGTACTATATGGTATGGCACTGGATCAACATAATCCCCAGTTTACACAATTCGTATCACATCAATCTGAATTATCTGTGAGTCATAGTTGCATCTTATGGGGAATGTGAGTAAATGTTCCAAAATCACTTCAGGGTAAGATTTTGGAAGCTCTTCATGAAGGTGATTTTGGCATTGTACGGATGAAGACCATAGCCTAGAGTCATGTCTGGTGGCTGGGGACTGACAAAGCTATTGAGAGGAATGTAAAGTGCTGTACTATGTGTCAGCAAATTCAGCATGATCCTGACCCATCTTGTCTACCGCCTTGGTCATGGCCTCAGACTCCTTGAATACATATTCATGTGGACTTTGCTGGACCTTTAGAAGATTACATGTTCAAAATGGCCAGAAGTTTTCAGAATGACTTCTACAACAGTTACTAAGACCATTGGACATATTTGTACTTTGTTTAGCAAGTTTGGTTTACTGGTACAGTTGGTGAGTGACATTGGACCTCAATTCTGTTCTGAAGAATTTCACAGGTTCCTAGCTTCAAATGAAATTCAGCACATATGCTCTGCTCCATATTACCCTGCTACAAATCAACTAGCAGAATGCGTTATGTAAACACTTAAGCATGCCTTAAAAGCTAACAAATCTATTTTGAGTCATCAGCAGAAATTAGACAATTTCTAGCTTCTCTCCAGGAACCCTCCACATGCTACTACCCAGGAGTCACCTACAACTCTTTTCTTGAAGCAGTATTTGCATACCTGTTGGAACCTGCTACGTCCTGAAATGTCTTCATGTGTAGCCAAATCCCAAACTATGCAAATTGATCAATCATATGAGACTCGTCATCGTTCTTTTCAAGTTGGGGACTTAATATAGAATTGCAACTACAGTTGGAGAACTTGTAAAATGCACAGGACCTGATTTGTTCATGGTAGAACTATCCAATGGTATTTTATGGAAAAAACATGGACCAGTTTCAGTCTTGATGAGTACCAGAGTCCAGGGATGTTCCAGTAAGTCTATCTGTTCCTCTAATTGAACCTCCTTCTCTTGCAACTCTTAGTTTCAATGACTTGTTGGGAAAAAATGTGGTACCCAATCCAGTTGATTCCATACTAGATGCAGTTGATTCCTAACCACTGACTGTTCCTGTTATTCAGAACTCTGCTGGACCACCATCACCACATTGTCCCAAGAGCATACAAAAACCAGTTAAATTGTTTAGTTAATGAGTTGCTATTCCAGCGCAGAATAATCCCTTGCATTTTAAGAGTCTGCTGTAGTCCGCCCACAATTCTTAGTTAAGTTATATAGTGTTTATTTTTAGCTATGTAAACGATAATGTATGTCTTCGCTGAATCAGACTCTCTCCTGTTAATACATTGCCTTCTTTTCTAATGGGAAAGTTTTTACTGTGTAACTAGCCAGCACATTAATCAGAGTGTTCTGTAGCATCTTTCACAGGGGACAAGATTAGCAATTTTGGCTTTCAGTCCACACTCTTGAGGTGAGCCACTCCACAGTGTTAATAAGAACACTGTCAAAATGGCCTAGAAAAATGAAATGTTAACATTTCAAACTATCAGTGGAGTGAGAAGGAAATTTAAGATGCTTCTATTTAAAATTAAATATAAAGGGCCTAATTTTCCACTGTCTTCACCTTAAGCAGCCATTTACACCTGTGGAAAGCAAATGCTATGTGGGACGCATTTCACACTAAATTACCCTGGCTCCATTTTTCATACTTTTGAGCACCTACTTCATACAGCTGTAAATAAGTATCCAGAGTGCAAGGCAATGGAGAATTGGGCCCAAAGAACTGTCATTCTATCCAAAAACTTGAAGCACAAAACTCAGGGGTGAAGCAAACCCACCCAAAAAACACACACAGGAATATCTGTGAACAGGAACCATTGTATTTTTCTCTAAATATAATATGTCAGTCTGCTCATCAAATTTGTTAGATAAACATTGTTCAAACATAGAATCAAATGCTGGCCTCATTGAAATCAGCCAGGAAACTACTGTTATTTCAATAACATCAAGATTTGGACCACAAACTGTAAAATCTGAATTCTTCTCTCAGATACTCTCTACTAATGATGTGTATATATTCTATAAAAATGTACAACATATTTTACAAAATGGATCCTTGAATAAGTTTTCCCGTGGTGTCCTGTTGGACAGTCCAGAGAAGCCATAAGAACTGGTAGTGTGAATTCCTAGCACTTCCAGAGAACTCATTTGTGCTATTTGACAATGAAAGGACAATAAATTGTCACCATTCTACAGTGTGTGCATTAGATATAGATATGATGTTCTTTTTTATCTGTATAAAATATCTCATGCATTATCAACCTGTCATTTTACTATTTGCTTTTAACATTTACTCACTTGAAACCAAGGAAAAGCCACTGGAGCCAGACCCAGGAGAGCAACATAATAATAATAGTGATGGGGATGCAAAGTATAAACCAGGATCCAAAATTGATGCATTGGCAATCGGGGTAGCGTCTGAATGAAAATAAAATAGACTTACATTAGGCATTGCAAGAGGAATCAAACCATATATAAAATGCCATCAGGCTCTGCCGCACAGGAATACTCGGGAAAGGCTGCTGCTGTCAGCTGCCTCCAGTGGAGCGGGAATCTTTAGCCAGAGACTGTCAATGGCCTGCTCTCACCTCACTCTCTTATCCTGCCCCATGATGATAATGGCCATTAAAGTAACTGGGCTGCTAATACCTCTGTGTCTAACCCTCATGCCATGAGCACTGAATATCAGAGCAGCAACAGAATACCCCATTGCTCCCTGGATCAAAGAATTAAATATCTACTCTGTGGTAAAGGCTCCTCATGGCTCATGGGGATGGCGGTGGAGGAGGAAGGGCCATTAGGACTTTGGGGCAATGGAGGAAGAGAAGGAAGGGCCTTTCTCTGAGAAGGGGGTAGTAGTGGAGGAAGATAGGGCCTTAGGGCTCTAAGATGAGCAATGGAGATGGGAAAGAAAGAATTGGAGGGAAAAGGGCCAATGCACATTTAATAACAATGATAATTGCTCATAAAATGTCCAAGAACATTTGCTGGGTTGCAGCCTGTGGGAGAGGTGCGTGGAGCCCTGCGATCTGGTTGGGGCCCCATATAATCTGAACCCACCATGCTGGTTTGCAGATAAAAGGGCCACCCAGCCACACACACCCCCCACCTGCAGACATCTAAGGAAAGTAGAGTTGTTGTGGGATTTTCTGAAAGAAAAGGACTGGCTGTTGCAGGAGATGGAGACCAATTGGGGAAAGAGGTAAATGAGCAAATGTTGTGTTTAAACCTTTTCTCCTATAAACAACATTTTTTCCCTCTCAAGCTCTACCTACAGCCTTGAACTCCATATGGAGCAGATGCTATATTATGGGGGCAGTCTCTCCTCTCCTTGTTAGGGTCAGAGGGAAAGGAAATTGGGACGTTTAGTCAGAGACCCTAACAATTCTTTACACTTGAATCTTCTGTATTCCAATATTTTTAAAGGAAAGCCTCTGGTAATGTTCAAATAGGGGGCAGGGAGCATTTTCCAAAGTGCTGTGCAAGTTTATAATTAAAAATATATGTTTCTCTAATTTTAATTTCATTTAATTATAAGAGTAATAATAAAAAAAATAGATCCTGTCATTATAATGCCATCTGGGAGTGATCCAAAATGTCTGCCTCCTTCTTGAGATTAAAGTTCCAATCTTCAACTGTAACTAGTGCTGAGACAGCAATGTTTGAACTCATTGCTGTCATGGAACAGGAATTAAATTCAGACAAGAAAAGATAGCACATTATTATACATACTCTATTGACTACATGGCTGTTTGTTTCTTATTAAATGATTAAAAATACTCCCTTGAACATACCTCTTTCTTAGATAGTAGGCAAGTGACTTTACTGTTACAATTACTCAGTTTCACGATTTAGCCAATGTTTTGATATAGTACTTATCATCCTGGTACCTGATTTATGCTCACATTAGTTAGCAATTTTTGCCAGGAAGAACAAGCTCTTTACCTCTCTATACTACAGGGCAAGTTCTGCTCTCAGTTACTCATTTACTGGGGTCAGATTGCAGTGTAACTTTGGGGATATTTGAGGCTATACTTACGTAGTTCTAGTAACTTGAAGATTAAGATTACCTAATTATTAGCCCTCTGGCAAGTATTGTTCTGAAAGACTGTTGGACTCATTAGAATTTAAAAATTATTTAAATGCTAATTAATCTAATATGTTGACCTAAGTGGTGACACAGATGGGATTGTCCCGTTGATACAATCTTGCCTTTGAACAGAAATGGACTGGATGACCTGCTGTAATAGCTTTTTTCCATCTTTAATTTCTGTGATAAGCTGTAATATGCATCCTATATTAAAGTGACTTATACTCTCAGTATTGAAAACAAAATTCCCTTCCTTCAAGGACAGGCTATTACTTAGTAATGTGTTTTTATTATTTTTAGAACATTCTTAAGCATTTATATGATTAATTCTGGATAAGGCTTGACTCTTCCTTGTGGAGTTTATATACGGGTCAGAGTCAATTACCTGAATATGTTTGCAATAATCTAGGGAATTTTCAGTGGGCCCAACAGAAGGAAAACAGAGGGTCCCCTCTGTAGGATCATCCCTGTCCAGTTGTAGGGACAGGAGTCAACCTCCTCTGTGGCACCATCTCCAGCTGCCCCCTCCCTGGGACCAGGCATGTGTAGCTGGATAAGAAGTAATCTGGGGATAGCACATCATCCCAAGCCTGCAAAAAGTTAATGCAATTTAAGGCTGCATCACCCTTTCTGTGGCTTTCCTCTGCATTTGGTAATCTGCCTTAAAATGGGTCTTGGAAGAACCACCAGCTGAAAAACTTTCTTTACTTGCAAACTCAGTGCATTTCATATTGAAATCAGTGAGACACAATGAATATGAAACCCCATTATGCTATTTTAACTGCACTGTAACAAAGTGGCCAACTCTAGATGTAAGGCTCCTTTGCAGAATCATCCTGTTATCAGGTTTTTGAATTGTCCATGACAGTACAGTGCAAAGATCTGTAGGTCATACTAGTGGGGCAATTCAGTTAACTCCCAAGAGGATATAAATGGGTTCGGAGCCTCTCTTGGAGCAGAGGGAACTAGGCATTTGGACAAAAAAGAGTTTGCAGTGAAAACCCTGGGAACAGCCACGCTAAGGTTGAGGAGAAAAAAAGCTTGAGATTTATGATCAGTAAATGCCCTGAAGGATGTAAAACTGGATTATGTGTGTCTATACTGTGTTCTTAGGATGGATGGGGAACAATGCTGCTTACGCACACTTGAAAAGACTGTTAAAGTCAAGGGGGAGTTGGAAGATAGGCTTTGAGCCAGTTTCCTTCAACCTAACCCCCAGTGCCTTGGGGACCTCCTAGGCTGCTGGAAGAAACTGGTGCCTAGCAGAATCAGTTCAGTGATTTTTCATTAAATGTATGAGCACTTAGCTGTTCCTACAGATTTCTGAAAATTTGCAGGAACCCCTACAGACTTACAAAGGTCTTTCCTGCAGGTCTAAGTCTCGTTTAGCACAGCCCTGTGCATTAAGGGCTACACTGTGATCTCATAATCTACCCTGAGAAAGGGGCAGCATGTCATTGTGTTGCCCCACAAGCAGACTCTGTGTTATAATTTGGTCCCTGCTTTCCCCATTGCTCCATGGGAGACATAATCTGCACCAGACCTTTTCCTAGTGCAGTTTGCTTTCCACTTCCCCTCCTTCCCCCTCCTCCTCCCTTCCCCCCCCCCCCCGGTACTAGTTCAGCTGTGGTGGCCAGTGTATTGTGGGGTAAGAGCCAAGGCTCCACTCCCCACCTCTCCTCCCTGGTCACCGGCACAGGAAGGGTAGCAGCCCATCAGTGGCTGCTCTCCCCTCTGCATTGCTATGTGTGTTACAAGTAGCAAGCACGGGGGAATGAAAAGAATGTTCAAGCCTCCTTATTTCCCTGCCTGAGTATGCAGCAAGGGTCACACACTGGTTCTGAATGAGAAGGGTTTCAGATGTTTTAGTCAGATCTCATATTCCACACAGCTTACTTATACACACTTTCAGAGCCAGTACAATGCCAGGAGATCATTATTTAACAAACTCTTATTGTTAGAAAAATAGTACACATATGTGGAGTATGATTCATGCTGTTGGAACAAAGAAGAATGAAAGTCATATGTTCAGAGTGTCTCTGTGCCAAATCTACCTACCTACCCTCCTGCTTTGGCGCCAGAGCTGCTCAGAAAACATTGTACAATTTTTTTCATGTATTTATTTTTAGTAATGGCAAACATATTCTTTCTCCAACTCTTCTTGAAAATGGTTGGACTTTTTTCCTCAAAATGTCCAAACTAAAAAAACACACATGTTTGGTCAGAGACCAGATCCAGAAAATTTCAGTCTTAAAAGATGAAAGTTTGAGAAAAGTTTTACGCAAATCAAAAAGGGGCTTTTAGATTAAAAGTCTTAGACTATTTATGACTTCCACTATGAGCTACAGATTTGATTTTACAATCTATTAAACAGGTTCTAGGGTTTGAAAACACTATCTTTAGACTGGTGCAAATGAGTGGAAAATCAGCTATAGGGCTGAATCCTCAGCTGTGAGCAAGAGCAGGAATTGGCTGTGAGCTACCTGGGATGAGCTGGGGACCAAACTACCCCCTAGTGCAAGTTAGAGTAGCCACAGGGCTGCGCTAAGTTATGCTAGTTGGCACAGGAGCACAAGAGTGCACTGCACTTTGGCTCCACTCCAACATGTTTCTTTCTTTCCCAGAGGCTGAGGAAGCAGGTGATTACCTCACAGCAGCAGAATGCTCAGTGTCCAGATATAAGACTGATTTTAAGTCCCATTCTGATGATGAAGAAGAGGAAACAGACCTTAGCTGGGGCCTTAGCTGTTTTGGTTTGTTTGTCTGGGTTTTTTTTAATCTAAATGATGGTATATTCCGTGCTGTAAAAGTTCAATTTTCAATGATGCCAGTTTTAACAAAACATAGGGGGCAGTCAGACATTATTCCTACTACTTAGAAATAACATTAGCCCATTAGCGACATTTGAGACACAAAGTGAAACTGACAAAATGATCACTGATATCACTCAAAGAGATGCCAAATAGTATCAGGAAGATTAAATGGTGCTGTCACAGCTGCTTTGGAATTAAAAGGCAATAAAAACTTAGCTCCAATTCTATTTAGCAATGAACAAAAGTCTCTTACGGCCAGATATTGTGCCATTGGTTACCAGTATTTACATTGAGTGGTACCTAACTCCTTGAATAAACCCATCTGTTTCAATGGGAGAATTCAAAGAATAAGGTATTATTCAATTTGAGAAGGATGACAGAATCTGGCTGTCATTTTGCATTTGTAGAATGAGTCCTTGCAATCTTTTCCAATGCAACTGAATGTACGCAAATCAGATATCATCATGGAATTTCATTGTATGTCTTATGGGAAAACAACAAAGTCATGATGTCAGTCGTGATGCCAGGCACTGCCAAGCCATAGTCTAAAACTCCAGACTATAACACACTTCGGGGAACCAGCTAAGAGTACAAAAAGTAGTATTTGGACTTCTGGGTAACAGGTATAGAAATAACTTGATATTTCTTACGTATTGAATTGCTCAGCAAAAATCAAATTTGTTGATGTTCCTGTGATTGTAGTCAGCCCTCCAATGGTAGAAGAATAAGCAATACACAAGCACATCACTTTGCACATCATCTGGTCTTTCTGGTTTCTGTATTTCCTTCTTGTCTCAGCTGGGGGCAGATTCTGCTCAATAAGAATACATATTGATTAATGTATGAGAAGGGTTCATCTGACATTATAAACTCTACATAAAAACCAGTGTCTTTAAGAAGCAATCAGCTTTCAGGATTTCCCAGCATTCCACAGGGCTGTTTCATTTGCTAGGAGTATTGTCATATGCAGCATTTGTTGGTGCCTAGGACTATGGTTAGGGCCCTACCAAATTTACGGTCCATTTTGGTCAACTTCACGGTAATAGGATTTTAAAAATAGTAAATTTCATGATTTCAGCTATTAAAATCTGAAATTTCATGGTGTAGTAATTGTAGGAGTCCTGACCCAAAAAGGAGCTCTGTGTGTGTGCAGGTTGCAAGGTTATTGTAGGTGGGGGTTGCGGTACTGCTACCCTTACTTCTGCACTGCTGCAGATGGTGGCGCGGCCTTCAGAGCTGGGCAGCTGGAGAGTGGCAGTTAGTGGCTAGGAACCCAGCTCTGAAGGCAGAGCCACTGCCAGCAGCAGTGCAGAGGGAAGGATTGTATGGTATTGCCACCCCTACTTCTGTGCTGCTGCCTACAGGGCTGGGCCCTCAGTTAGCAGCTGCCACTCTCTGGCCGTCCAGCTCTGAAGGCAGCAGTGCAGAAGTAAGGGTGGCATGGTATAGGGTATTGCCACTCTTCTGCGCTGCTGCTGGCGGAGCGCTGCCTTCAGAGCTGGGTGCTTGGCCAACAGCCGCTGCTCTCCAGCCACCCACCTCTGAAGGTATCAGTGCAGAAGAAAGGATGGCAATATCATGATCCCCCCCAAAATAATCTTGCAACCCCCATGCAACTCCCTTTTGGATCAGGACCCCCAATTTGAGAAACTCTGGTCTCCCCTGTGAAATCGGTATAGTAGAGGGTAAAAGCATACAAAAAGACCTGAATTCACAGGGGGAGACCAGATTTCATGGTCCATGACGTGTTTTTCATGCCCATGAATTTGGTAGGGCTCTAACTATGATGATAGAAATATTACAGAGAAGAGTTTTTCCCTAGTTTTTTTCAGTCTTTACACAAGTAAAATTCTCACTGAAATTAATAATCCAGAATGAGGATGAGTAATAACTGATTAATAACTTCAGGATTTGGCCCACACACATTTCAAATTCTGGGGAATCCTGACTGGATGGTCATGTGCACTATTTGCCTTTTGGTGGAAGGTACTAATTTAACTCCATTATGGGGGGAATTAAAATTCCTCCTTAAAACACACTTAGGTCCTTATTCTGTGCCTATTTAAGTCAATGGCAAAACTCCCATTGATTTCACTATTGCAAGAGATGGTTCAGCAGTGACTTCTGGAAGCTTTCTGCTCCATCTCAAGGCCCCAAACCTGCAAATACTTTACATATGTACTTATCTTTATGTGTGGGAGTAATCACACTGAAGTCAGTGGGACTACCCAAGTATGTCATATTAAGCAATGCATAGACATTTGCAGGGCTGGGGCTCAAATTTGTTCCCTAACCCAAGGTATTATATATCTCTGAACTGATTTGTCAATATTTGAAGTAGGTTGTAATATGATCCTTGAGGCAGTGACAGTGTTATGTAGCGCCAAGCACATTGTGAACATTCAAATAAATGAAATAACAATAAAATAATAAAAACTGCATGTCATATGTATTTAAATATCTATCTATATATGTGTGTACATATAAAAAATTAAACATTTAGATAACAGTGAGAGGTGCTATGTAAAAACTTAGATTTGATCGCTAGGTTAAAATTATGTTAATTAACATGTAGTAACTGCATGGGTTTTTTTTCTCAAAATAATCACAGCTTAAATACCTTTTCCTTTTCAATCTTGCACACAGTGTGACCCTCACCATTGGTGTATCTGGAAAAAAATTCCTTACTGTAATAAAAGAACTATTTTTCATAAACAGATTATTAAAATATGAATGATGAAATCCATAAATTGTACCCATTAACTTCTTTTGTTTTCTCTTTCCAGTCACTAGCTTCACATTCACTAACACTTTCTGTAAAATATTAGTGGAAATAGAAAGATAAATACTCCAATTTAGCTGGTCACTTTCAAACTGAAGAATGAGGGTGGATCGATATCAAGACTGTATCTATGCCTACCATCAAGTTCCAATGCCTCATTGGTGGATCCAGTTGCACAATTCATCTCTAAGGCATCGACTTCTGCTTCAGCACCCATGATCTGCTGAGCTACGGCCTCTACAATTGGCATCACCATGGCAGCAGTAGAGGTGTTGCTAAGCCACATAGACAAGAAGCCACAGCTAATCATGAAACCCAGCGTAAGCCTGAAATGAGAAATACTCCAGTCTATTACTGTTCCATTAACCTTTGCTATCAGCATCCAATTTAATACAAAAGGATAACTTTTTCAGCATAAAGATGGGACTATAAAAACCACCAGCGTTAAGAGCTGTTAATTTGATTGTGATTTTTTTAATATATAAAAGAAGAGTTATTCATACAAATCATATATACTGTAAAATTGTGTACAGATTAAATATATTATGCAATTAAAACAAGAGTAATGTTATTTACTTATGGTATCATTATCCATTTGGACAATACTTGATTCAAGATATCATGACACATCAGCCTGTTTCAAGTTCAAATGGACATCTACACATGCTGCAGTCACAGCTCTGATTGCAGTGCAGGCATACATAAAGTCAGCACTGATCCCTGGATGGTATTAGGGGTCACCTGCAACACATACCGTCTTTCAAAGGAAACATAAAACTGAGGTTAGATTGTATCAGCTGTTACTGATCCTTGGTCTGGCACTGATCTCACTTACAGTGGTTTTACACCGATGTAATTCTGTTGACTTCATTGGATTTACCACCACTGAAAGTACATCAGAAACTGATGCTCCAAGTCACTTTTTGAAACAGCATACCTGTTAAACCTAGCATCATGAACAAGTTTTAATTAGGAATTTATCATGTGTCTACCTACATTTTTCTCTGTAATTTTAAATTAATACAGCCTGCTTCACTTCCTGTACTAAATGGTTGTGTATTATTGAGTGCAGTTAAACAGTTGACATTTTTCACACCAAGAGATGGCAGCAGTTCAGCAGTGGGTTCATTGAAATGAACGAATATAATTTTTTGCAACCAGTTTGTAAAGGTTGCAAAGCACTTTGGAACTTTCCTAGATGAAAGGTGTTACATAAATTATAAGGATTACTCAACTCAGCAGGAGCAGATTTTAAAAAATATATATGCAAAATAATTAGAGTATTTTTTAAAAATTCAAAATTACTCCCATGGCATTTCTCTCCCTAATGACTAAAGGCAACATTTTCATTTAAAAATAGAAATCCATTTTCATGATGGAGACATAAAAAAGTGATTGGGCTAAATTCTGGCCCTGGACAAGTAGATGATCTCTCTGCTTGTATTTCTGCCCATTTTTAATAGCACTGATAATACAGAATTGTACTTTATTGACTGTAGAACTTGCTAATTTACCGTCTGATCCAGAACACTAGACTGACACTCATGGAACTCACAGGGCTTTGGATTAGATCTTCAGTTAGTCTCTTGTAGGAGTTGTGTAAGAAGTGGGTTTCCAGGACCAGTAGGAATTGGAATGAGGGAAGGGGAGTAGCTTTGAAGGCCAAAAGCTCTGGAAACAGATTTTTTTTATACTGGAAAAACATACAACCTTAACAGAGCTAGCAGCAACCTTAAGAAATAAAGAAAAAGAAGAACAGGAGTACTTGTGGCACCTTAGAGACTAACAAATTTATTAGAGCATAAGCTTTCGTGGACTACAGCCCACTTCTTCGGAAGACATTCACTGACAGCTGCTTTGAAACAATTTCTTATTGATGTTATATATTTGATGACATCAAATATTTGATGGTCGGATGTTCAAATGATCATTCAATACATTGGAAAATTAACCTATTCCCAGTAGCTTCAGAGATTAAGAGCTGATGATTCACTGATCTAAAAAATAACAGAGCATGTCCTAATCTAGTCAACCTCAATTTTTCCTAATCTATTCCACCCACAGTATTTCAAGTGACACTATGTATGAAATCTTGGATGCCGGCTTCATTTATAACCAACAATAAAGCTAATATCTTTTTGCCATACAACAATGAGAGGAGACTCCTGTTTGCCTTACTCACACAATTCATCCCTGTGGGCTACATCCTCTGCTGCAAGTGAAATACAGTGCAATTGGTGGTAAGGCAAAGGTTGCTCTATACTATCTCTGTGTTTGTTTACTGATCTTGGGGCCAACAAGGGAGTGGCCCAGGCACTAGTGTAATTTAGAGTAGCCTCAAGGCTATTCTAAGGTATGCCATACTACGCTGTTCATGGCCCTCAGGGGCCTTTCTGGATGCCAAGAAAAAACAAAGTACAGTGCAGCTTGGCCAGACCTGAGGATGGAGCCTACTGTCTGTCCATTCTGTTGAATTCTTGAATGAAATCCTGGCTCCATTGAAGTCAATGCCAAAACCCCCATTGATTTAAATGAGACCACGATTTCACCTCGTGTCTGTGCTGAGGTCTAGGGCACAGTTCTAACCTGAACTCCAGGTCAGATGGTGCACAGATGTCACAACTGAGCATTTAAAACACAGATAGCCTGGTTGACTAAGAAGGCATCTCTACCCTGTATGATTTTGGCCTGCATACAAAGTGGTGGTATTACCTCTGAAACTATCAAGGTTGTAGGCCTCTCTGTATTTTACTGGTGACACTGTACCTAAAATACTGTGAAATGCAAAATACATAGTACAAAACTGGAGGGGATTTAGAGAAGAAGAAAATGGGCAAACCCAGCTTTCACTTCTGCAGCTTTATAGTCTCCCGTCAGAGAAACTGCTGTGGTTCCTATATGCAAGGGTAGGGCTCGGGTGCAGGCCGAGGAGCAGAGAGCTCAGCATAGAGAGCTTGTGTCTGGTAGTTTGCAGTAGGCATGTGAGAATTGGGCATGAGCTGGATGGGGCTGAGGGTGAGGCTCGAGGAACCTCCACTACTTAGAACCTTCTCATGAGGAGATGGTGGGGCGGGGGGGGGGGAAAGCGGAACTGCTGCAATCCTCACGGTTTCAGTATAGCCTGTGGAATGGCTCTACGTCCACTCTGTGGCTTGAGGGCAGAATTCCTTTCTCCATAACTGCCCAGGGGGCTATCCAGCAGAGTACTCAGCACAGCATTCAGGTCATCTGTCAGGTTACTAGGCTTCAGCCAAAATGAAAGGCCTGGCGAGTGTCAGGGCCGGCTCTGGCTTTTTTGCCACCCCAGGCAAAAAAAGCCCCCGGCCGCCCCTCCCCCCCTCGGGGGGGGGTGGGAGGGCGGCTGGAGCCCTGGGAGGAGGGCGGTGAGCCCCGGCGGGGCTCCGCTCTCCCCCTGGCGGCCAGAGCGCAGGGGGCAGGGCGGCGAGAGGGCGGCGAGCCCCAGCCAGGGCTCACCGCTCTCCCCCCAGCGGCGGGGAGGGTGCCGGAGGGAGGGCAGCCAGAGCGCCGGGGGGAGGGCGGCGAGCCCGGCTGTGGCCCCGCTCTCCCCGGGGGCCGGAGCGCCGCGCTGCCCCCCTCCAGGTGCCGCCCCAAGCACAAGCTTGGTGGGCTGGTGCCTGGAGCTGGCCCTGGATGCATGTTTTGGGATAAAAATGAGGTAGGAACTGTATACGCATCACCCTACTACCCCCTTCATTCCCCTCTAAGCTAACCAAGTTCATTTTAGTAGGGTTACCATATCTCATAAATAAAAAAAAGAGGACCCTCCACGG